TTTGGAATTCTTCTATGAGGAAGATTTGTCTCTTCTCCCTCACTATTTCTGCAATCATTTATTTGTATCATTCCGGACTCATGTACATTTGACATATACTTTTTATCCCTGTTTATCACTTAACATTGTCACAGATTTTTTTTTTCCATGTTACTATCATGGTCTTCGGAGCCCTGGTGGTGCAGTGGTTAAGAGCTCAGCTGCTAACCAAAGGCCAGCAGTTTGAATCCACCAGCTGCTCCTTGGAAACCCTATGGGGCAGTTCTACTCTGTCCTATAGGGTTGCTATGAGTTGCAATCGACTTGACGGCAACAGGTTTGGTTTTTTTGGTATCATGGTATTTACAGCCATCATTTAATGGTTGCATCTATTTTTGGATACTTTATGTTAATAACTTTTTACTCTCATAAATTATACAGCTTTTGAAACACTGTTCTACGATGCTTCATATTCTCAGCTCAGGTATGCTGTCTGGAACACAGAAACACAGCAGGTGTTTAATAGATGTTTATTTGAGATGAGTGAGTGAATAAGTGGACGAATGCTGGGCTGGCAGTGAGATTCCATGGTTCTTTTTTCCTGTGGAACAGTCTTCTCACTCTTGGCCTATGAAGATCTCAAGTCAAAGTTAAATGACGGGAAGAGAGGTTTGAGAACTTGCTGGAAATCAAGGTTTGGCTTCCTGTCAAACTCACCTATTTTGTAACAATAGACAAAGGGCCTTAGAACAAAGTAAAAATTCTGTACTACAAGCTGTTTTCCTTATCTCTGGTTGGTTCATTGCTGGTACAAACTGAACAAATCTGGACATTTTGTCAGCTTCATATCTCTTTCACATGGCTGTGTCATTCTCCTCTCAGCTTAAATCGTAACTATGAAGATTTTTAAGTATCTGGGGTGGTTTTAGGGCATATACATAGCATCATATCTCTTGGTTTAGTCCTTGGCAAGGAAAAAGCTGACAGTTTAATAATAATGTGAGTGAAGGACATTTGGAAAGTATCTTCTATGATAATGATTACTGAACAGAACAAAAAAACAGTTACAGAGAGTAGCTGAAGGAGGAGGAGGAGGATGAGCCAGACACGTTCATCACTTCACGGTTTGGGAAAGTAACCACTGCAGAGGTTTGGTGGCAAGAAAAAGAAATGAGAGAGCTCAGAGGGGAGGTAGTCAGAGGTTAGGTCAGGACAGTCCTGTCCCTTGTCCCACAATGTACGTCTGATCTCTCATTCCCACTGAGAAGCATGGAGGGAAAAGAGTGAAATGTTTCCCAAGTGGTTCTCTCCTTCTCCAGGAAGAGTCAGGTCTATTTGTAAAGAAAGGTAACCAAAGTCGAACCCCCAGACTCTGAGGAGGGGGGTGTACAAAGAGGCCTCTGTGGATGCCTGATCTGGGGAAAAAATAGCAGGGGCGCCTTAGAAGACAGATCGTGCCATCAGACTAGAGATTCCCAGGGTCAGTCTGCTTCATCTTCATCCCACATGTGGGTGAAATGATTGCTCTATTCAGGCTCTTCGGTATGAAAGAGTACTCAGGCAGTACTACTCAGCCAGTAGCGATAAGGTAAAAACACAAACCAAACCCAATGCCACTGAGTTGATTCCAACTTATAGCGACCTGCCCCATAGGATTTCCATGGAGCCGCTGGTGGATTCAAACTGTTGACCTTTTGGTTAGCAGCCGGGCTCTTAACCACTGCGCCACCTGGGCTCCAGTAATAAAGTAGAGGTCAGTTATTACAAAGATCCATGTAACAGGAAGACGGAACACATTAACCTAAGTGCAGGACTCCAGCGACCACCTGGGAAAGGCAGGCAGCCAGGAAGAATACTGTGGGCTAACTCTGTCAGGGCCTTTCTGTCTAGACCCCAGCATGAGTCCTTCTGGCTTGATTTGGAAGGATTTGTGCTGGGTGTTTGGAGATATGTCTGGGGTATTTGCAGAGGGAAGGCTGCTGAGTTTAAGATGATTAAAGAGGACAGGTGTTTGACAGTGGTAAGTCAAGACCATTGCTGCAGCAGAGACAATCTTTGTGTGGAAGGGCCCCCCAAAGGTCGTTTTATCTACCCATCTGCCTCCATGTAGAACAGGCAGTTCCTTACATTCAAATGGTCACCTGGCAGTTCATTCACTCATTCCAGCCATTCACTTGTTTGTCTGTTGTTCTATAGGGAAAATAATAAATAACAAGATAATGTGAGAAGCATACTAACAGGAGGTTGGGACAGTGTGTCCAGGCTCACAGAGGATAGGCTGAGCAGAATGCAACCAGGGAAAGCTGAGGATTAGCCGAGTTAGCCCTTAAAGGAGGAAACATCAAGGTGTGTTTGGAGAACTGCTAACAGTTCAAGGAACGGCAAGAGGCTAGGAAGCTAAACTGTGGCCATATATAGAAGGTCCTTTATGTCCCAGGGAAGACACCAAACCCTATCTTAAAGGGGAGAGAACTACTGGTGAGTTTTAGGCAGGGGAGTGTGATCCCACGAGTGTCTCCCCTCCTCACCGCTGCGCCAGTCTCCTTTTCTCCACTATGGAGGTCAATTTGGCAATATTTATCAAAATCTTGTTGTTGTTAGGTGACGTTGAGTCAATTCTGACTCATAGTGACTCTACAGGAGAGAGCAGAACTGCTCCATAGGGTTTCTAAGCAGTGGCTGGTGGATTGGAACTGCTGACTTTTTGGTTAGCAGCCGAGCTCTTAACCACTGCACCACCAGAGCTCCTTTATCAAAATTACAAATGCACATACCTTTTGTACCAGATATTCCATTTTGGAGAATTACTTGCACCTACGTGAAATTATCTATGAACAAGGTTTTTTTCATTGCAGCATTGCTTGTATTAATAAAAGACTGGAAACAAGTTAAATGTCCATCAGGAAAGGACCGGTTAAATAAATTATGGCCCATCCATACAATGGGAAATGTTCAGCTGTAAGAAATGAGATTCTTTATGTATTGATATAGTAAGTTCTCTAAGATACACTGTTTAAAAATAAAAGGCGCAGAAACATGTATATGGTATGTTTTTAAAGAAGGGGAAGGATACGTAGATATTTTTGTTTGCATTACATAAAGAGACTGCAAGAAGGGTAAGCAGAGAAGTAATGAGACGCTACCTTTGGGGGTCAGAAAGAAACTGGGCAAATGGGAAATAGGAATGGGAGGGAGACTTTTCACTGTACGCCTTTTTGTGGATTTTACGCATGTGAATGTATTAGAAAATTAAATTTTAGTAGTAAATAAATAAAAAAACTAGAGAAGAAACCTCTTTCATTATCTTTTTCCTCTGAAGACCTCACTCCTGCTTTTCACCTGGTCAGAACTTTTAGTTAGATCTGTGGTTACAGGATTCCCAGTAGTTACATGGCTTTCTTAGGGAAAAGGAAGCAGGGCTGGATCTTACCTTATGAGGGTGCTTTAGCCGGGATGCTGTAAAGATCATGCCTACTCCTTCTACCATGACAGGGTATAGTAAACCTATCACACACCTGGTGCCATAGAAAATGCTGCCTCTCTTTGGGGTGAGCTGCCATTACTCAGGGGTGAGTCCCCAACACAGCCATAACTATCCTCTGTGGCCTGCCTTGCTGGCAGCAGGCTCAAGAGAAGGGCTGCAAATCCTGTGGCTAACGTTTCCAGAGCTGTCCTGGTCTTGCCCCTTCCTGAGACTTAGCTGTTAATATTCCTTAGACTCTGTCATTTATTCCAGTATCCTTCTAATACCTGGCACCCCCTTCTTTTTGTTCCTTGCTTAAACATATCAGAGTTAGAGCATTTGGAGTGTACTTTATTTCCAGAGGTTTGTGGTTAATGAGGTGACAGTAATGATGATGGTATGCCATACCCTAGTCCAAACCAACATAATTTCTCGATGAACTACTTACTGCAGCAGTGTCCCGAGAAGCACATCCCACTGCTTCTACTCTTATTTCACTCTATGCATTCTCCACAAAGTAGACACTGAATTTAAATTTTCACCAGATCAGTCACTCCTCTGATCATAACTCTTCAATGGCTTCTCAATGTTCTTAGAATAAAATCTAAAATCCTTTTTTCCAAACTCCTCCTGTCTCACAGCCTTCATGGGTTATTCCCTGTCTGGCACCTTTTTCTCCCCACTCTGAGCTTAGCTTGTTTCTGCTCATTCTTCGGGTCTTGGTTGAAGTACTTTCTCAGAAGCCTTGCTTGCTCTCTCTCTCCAGTCTAAATTAGATACCCCTGTGATCTTTAACTAGCTATTATTAAGGCTTGGAATTACATAACCATTTTGGTGACTTTGGGTCATGTCTGTCTCCTCCACAAGACTCTAAGCCTAGCACAGAAACTGGCATATAATAGGTACTTGAATATTTGATGAACAAGTGAACAGGAAGAGAACAGTATGACTGGAGATAGTTCAGATGTGAAGTAAGAACCCGAATTTGGGTGCTAGCGGTGGAAAAGGAACAAGACAGATGTGAAGAAAAGAACTCAACAGAACTTGATGGCAGGTGGTAGGAAGGAGATACTGCTCTAACAGTCAGACATGCCACCTGACTCAAAGAGGAAAGAACTGAAGATAGCTCAATTTTCAAACCTAGGTGACTAGTGGTCAGGCTTGGGGAAAATACGTTAATGTTGGTTTTAAACATATTGGCTGAGATGATAAAGGATATTCAAGGAGGAATGTTCAGAAAGTTGCGGGGTGGAGCTAGGGCTCCAGTGGGCCAGGAGCATGAAAGAGCAGGGCAGAAGAGATGTGCAGAAGTGGGAGCTGAAGTATCTGAGACAACTCCGATGTTGTGGAGACGCAGGTTTACCTCACTTTAAGCAATAGCTATCCAAGGGGATGGGTAGGGGGCACCTCCTGTGCGTTGGAAAGGACTATGTACCAGAAACCCTGGTGGTGCAGTGGTTAAGAGCTACAGCTGCTAACCAAAAGGTCAGCAGTTTGAATCTACCAGAAGCTCCTTGGAAATCATACGGGGCAGTTCTACTCTGTCCTATAGGGTCGCTATGAGTTAGAATCGACTTGACGGCAATGGGTTACAGGTTTTATGTACCACATAGTACAATCTTGTCATTTTACACATGAAGAAACAGAAGTCTAAAGAGATGAAACGATTTCCTCAAGGTCACATAACAAGTCAGGGACAAAACACCCCTTTTCCTGATTCCAGTTTCCTTGACATTACAACACAGAAACCTTCTGTATTTTCACAGACAGGCCTGCTTTACAGTGGACACTCAATACCATTTCCTGACAGTCAAGGCAGGCAAACAAAAGGCAGAAATTTCATTTCCTTAGTTTATTAAAGATGGCAATGAACTGTTAGGCTGTGTAAGAACTATGACAAGTAGAAATGCAGTTCAGAACACGAGTTATACACACTCAGGGAACATCACTATTTAGACTCTTGTTTCTTTATGTTAATTCACCAAAAGCGCTAAAGCCTTGGCAGAGAGAGTCAATAACAGCCTCATTTAAGTGGAAAATATTTGCCTCCCACTCTTCTGCTATGTCTTGAATCTTGTCTCCACCAAGTAAGCAAATTGTTTTTCTTTCCCTTTGCTATAGAGAACACTTCTTCCCTCCTGTTTTACTCAGAAGGAACTCTCTTCAGTGCATTCAGAGCTTCTCCCCACACAGCAGGGGATTTTCAGATACTGATAAGTTGCAAAAGTGCTTTTGAAACATCCCACCCTCTGCCCTCTCCCCAACTCTCAAATAAATAAATAATTGGGTATTTGGACAGTGATGACAGCATGGTATCCGCGTCACTGAAACAGATACGCAGTCTAAAGGGATGGAGTTGGAGAGGTGGAGAAGAGTAAGTGGAAAACCAGGAGTGTGTAAGACTGCTGAGCTCAGCTTCAGAAGCTGTCAGCGTTTTCCATCCTCTGATGCTATCCTAATACAAAACAGGCAGGATGGTAAGACAGTACATCTCTCCTTCAGTGTAGTGACTTGGGGTAAGGAGCTGGACGTACAGCCCACCATTTTCTACAAGCCTGAATCTGGGGCCTAACCCTCAAGTGAGACGAGTTTTGTGGGGTCATTCCCACAGCTCCTTAAAGGGCAAGGGAGCTTCCAGTAAGCCCTTCAAAGACTGGGTTGGGCTGAAGGCCTTGGCTTTTATAGTCTCCAGGCCTTCCAGCTTGATGTAGCCTTCAGATCCCAAGTTTAAGACAGAGGAACCACACCACGGGCCAGTTCTGACATGTTGCTTCTCCCTGGTGGAGCCTCAGCTCTGGCCATTACCTTGATGCCCCTTCTCCTTCCTTGTGAGACTCCTTGTATCTCCAGCTCCTTCACGCATCAGCTTCCACCAACCACGTGCAACTTTCTGTTCAGCTTCCTGGGAAGTGCACAAGCCGTGTGTTTTCTACTAGCAACTAACTCTGGGAAGACAGCTACACAGGAAGAGTCCAGTCTCAGAACAAAAACGCTATGGGCCTTAGTTCACACAGCTGCTAGCCCTGGGAGTAGCAACCCTGCCCAGTGTTTTACCTAGAGGTTAGACGCCAAAGCAACACAAAGACCACCACAGACATACACAAGGTCTCATCCACAAATTTTCCCTGTTGAAACACATTTAAAAAGGGAGGGAGGGTTAAAATTAGTAATATGAAAAGGATGATTGAATATACGGGTATCACAAGGCTAGATAACGAGTTAAGTGCATAACTGGCATGAAGGCTCTTGTTATTCCAAGAACACAGGAACATTCACACTCACATCCACAAACTGTCAAATTCTATAACACCACTAATAGCAGGAAGCATTTCCCCCGACTTTGACAAAAGAGACTAAGGCAAGAGATCAACTCCCAGGGAGGGTCCCAGCTCTGTTGCAGGAAGGGGAAGAGAACGGAGTTGGGCCATATTTTTACTAAGAACCACAATGACCATCTAACAGAGGACAGAGTAGTAAGGGACTCACTAATAAGATGGTGCGTGGGGTTTCTGTCCTCAGCTTAGGATGGCATCAGGGACTTGCCTGAGCTTGAAAGAGCATACCTGCACCAAGGAGCCAGGTTGACTAAAAGGGACCTTACACCTAAAAGGGGGTCAAGAGCTCCTCTGACTGAATGAATGCTCTTTAAGCAACAGAGTTATAGCCTCACTTATGCCTGCTGTTAAGGCTACAAGTGGGCCTGGCCTAAGCATCAGTTCTGTCCTTTGCGCCAAGCCCACCAGGGTAGATAAAGAAAGTCAGCTTGTGGCACCTCAGTCCTGACTGCCTCCTTGAGGCTTCTAAAGGTTCCAGGGTAGTACCGGTGCTCTTTGATGGCCCCAAAAAGACGTAAGTAAGCTGGACACAATGCCCACAACGAAGTCCTGTTCTCTGTCATTTCTCCTCAGGGCACAGTCTGACCCTATTCCAGGATTTGGGAGAGAAAATAATCCCATCCCCATTTCAGCAGCAAAGGAGAAGTGAGTTGGTTGAGAAAGGCCTGGCTCAGAAGCTCCAACGTTAAAAGGAAATAAAACTGGAAGTGACACTTGGGATCAGTTGAAACCAGATCTGGTCCTAGTGGAAAAGAACATGGATGTCAGAAGAATTGGGTCTGGCTGTCCATTCCTCTGACGGAGGCACCAGAAGCTTCATTTAGGAACCTATGTGTCAGTTCTGATGTTAAAACCTGGTGCCTACAGATTATCTGTCACAACAGACTGGACCCCATTAACCTAACAAAGGCCAGACAGGATGGCTACACGTGGATGTCAGACAAGTCATAAAAAAAATAATAATAATAATATTAAAAAAAAAAAAAAAAAAAAAAAGCCCCAAGTGGGAAAAGTCCTTAAAAGGGTGGCTCAGTTCCGCATCATGTGTGACTCTAGTCCTTAGTTAGAGAGCTTGATGTGCTTTCTTCAGGTGGTCTCCAAGATGGTGGCTTCTAGGGCCAAGGCTTCAGTGGGCTCCTCCTCGTAGTCTGACAGATAGGATTCCAGGCTCTGCTTGGCCAACAACTCCCGCCGGGCCTGGAGCCGCTCACACCGGGGACAGCTTCCAGACTTGAAGCAAGCTTTATGGTAACATGCTTTACACTCTATTCAGGTCAGGAGTGTGAGAGAGAAAAGAAAACAATTTGTATTATCCACAGCCCGTTCGCACCATCACGGCCCCATGCTCCTGTGGGGAAACACAGGGAGCTGCTGAATCACACCAAACTCCTACCAACAGCAGGGGATGGAGGGAAATCAATCAGCTTTGGGTTCTGTCGTGTTTGGCCCACTCCTAGCCCCGGCCCTCACCTTCACAGGTCCGGCACTTATGGAGCTCAAAAGGAAAGATGATGTCATCCTCATTCTGACAGAACTCACAGATGAAGCCCTTGGCCTGGCAGAGCTGGGGAGGAAAGAGGCAGCAAAATGAGGGGCAGGAACTGGCACAAGAGAGCAAACACAGGGGAGGGGAGGGGAAGAATATAAATAAAAATTGAGCGGGCTCTCAGGGGTTCTACCACCCGCAAGGAAGAGGCCTGAGTTGAGCCTAGAAGTATAAATGCCAAACTGGGGACAGGGCTGGGCAGTGACACAAAGCTCTAAGGTAGAGACAAGAGAGGCACAAGTTCAAGAAGCTCTGCCCACAAAAGTGGCTCTCAACAAAGAGAGGAAAAGAAGGACGGAATGGTGCCATAAGGAGCTCCCTGAAGTCAGCATTCCAGTCTGGGTAATGATTTTACTTTGAAGTAGAAACCACAGCCAATTAACATAATTACGTGAAGATAAAATTAAGATAAAATGTGAACGGTAAGGATGTTTCACCCTGCCTTGGGTCAGCTTATAGTGAAATCTTTCCAATTCCCCCAGCCAAACAGGATTCTCTACATAACGCCCTGTTTTAAGCCCTGACTCTGGGACTGCCACAGGAATACAAAGCGGGCATATTCCAAGGTGGGAAGTTCTAAAACGAATTTCTGAATTTCTGGCAGGTCGAGCATATAAAGAACAATAATAACTTGCATCTGTAGAATACCTGAAGTTTACAAACTGCTTTCATGTAAATTATTTCATCAAACCTCCAAAACAGAGAGGAAAGGACAGTAGGTATTATCTTCAGTTTAGAGGCAAAAAAAAATAGAGGCTTACCTCAGAGAGGGCAAAATATTTCATTTAGTTAATAACTGGAAATGATAAAGCCAAGACCCAGTCCCTCTTCTGATTCTAATCCGGGGTTTCTCCTATCACACTGTGACAATACTTTAGTGAAGACCTGTCAATCCAACCCAGAGCTACCCAGGAGCAATGCCAGGACCAAATCCTCTACTAATTCTAAGTACTCTAGATTGGGATAATTTAGCTGTTTTGCAACCCAAGAAATAGCATTTCTGTTCAGTCTCTCCTGCAGTGTTGACAGGCCATTTCAACTTCCTGGAGCCACATGGCAAGAACCCTGGGCCCACCCCATCTCTCCATATCCCTAAGCAAAGGCCCTGTTGCATGAGAATTTCTCACCACGCATAGAGCTACGTGGGTGGCCCCTGCCCTGGTGAGCTCAGCAAGCCGAGGCCCCAGCTCCCCCTTCCTGGTTGCAGTCAGATCATTCAACGAGTACAAGTGAAGATCCTCTGTCAGGTGGCCTGGAACTGTGTCAAAGGAATCCAGAAGCCTACAGAAAAGGAGAAGGGAGTATGGGCAGGGAATTAACATTTTGTGTGGCACAGCATAGGAGAAGGGTCCCTGTCACAAAGCAGGGGAGAGAAGGATTCCAGGCAGAGGTAGTGAGGGTGGGCAACACTGGGGGCCGTCTTGAAGCTTTAGGCCGGCCTGAGCGCTCCCGGCCACACCAGCCTTCTCACACTGCTGGGTGTCCGGAAGGCAGAAGTGACTTTTACAGTCTCCTGCAGCATGATCCATGCCAGCTTATGAAGAGCAGTAGGCCTGCGCTGATAGAATAATCACAGATTTCCCCTTCCACAGAGAAGGATACAGACCAGTTACTGCTATGTCTTCTCATTCACGATTTCTGGAATTTTCTTCAAGATCCCCCCGCTCCCTCCTTTTTCATACACCAAAGGCCAACTACTGGGACATGTCTCTTTTAGGGATATTAACTCAGTCAGAGGCCTCTGGCCTCCATGTAAGACTTACTCTTTGGCCAGTCGACATGTCTTGAACATGTTCTTCATGTGATACAGCTGGACCCGCAGCAGCTGAAGAGAAAGGCATTGCAGGGCGGGGGCAAGGGAGAGAGGGAGGGAGGGAGAGAAGAGGGGAAAAACTACTGTTAGGACTGTAAGAGGAGTCCCTGGGTGGCACGAATGGTTAAGTACTGGACTACTAACCAGAAGGTTGCTGGTTCAAACCAACCCAGAGATACCTTGGAAGTAAGGCTGGTGATCTGCTTCTGAAAGGTCAGAGCCTTGAAAACCCTATGGAGCAGTTCTACTCTGCGCACACAGGGTCACCACGAGTCAGGATCGACTCAGTGGCGACTAACAACCAGAGGACTGTAAGAAAGACCAGCGCCTTTAACCTTGGGGGTCTGGAAGCTCTGCACACAGCAGCTAGAGCTGGACTGTCCTCTACCCTTCTAACTCAACACCTAGCTCCTGTTAGACAGGCTGGACAGACTAGCAGGCTGGTCAGTCTGCCCGAATCACATACAAGGCTGGGAGCAGCTGAGAAGAGAACTCCGGAAGTCTAATTCCCCACCTGATACCCTGTTCTCCAGTCAAAAGTGTATTCAGTGAGGGGGGAAATCTTGCTTTTGCCATCAAGCACTCACTGTCTATAGCTTCAGAGTTTTGCCACTGCCAGGGTGGAGACTCTTAACTAGCTAGACCTCTGGGAAATGGGAAGAGATGAAGAAAGTACATAGAGCATGAAGGATGGGATGGTTACAGTTCTGATATCGTGGCAAAGAGAAGTGTGATGAACTTGGGGAAGCTGGTATGAACAGAGGGAGGGGATGAGAAGGGCAAGAATTTATGATGTGGCCTTGTCAAGGGTCTTACCCGGACTTGATTGAGCACCTTAACCTTCCTATAGAGGGCACTATTGATGTCCTGCACATTGAAGAGAGGATCGTTCCAGATCTTGATGAGCAGATCCTTGGAGAAGTTGCTGACACAGTACTTGCTGAAGTCCCACTTCCGCAGGATCCGGCTGGGGATGACCATCTGGGCATTCTCATGGCAGCACTGACAGAAATACTTGCCCAGGTACTCACAGTATCGCAGCCGCTTGATATAATCTGGGAAAACAGGAAAGCCAAAGGCTGGAGGTCACCTTGCCATCTACATGCTGGTGAGGCAGCCCTGCTATTCCCCTTGAAAGAGCAGGAAGGGATGGCCAGTGGGCTCTACCCACCTCTGTTTGAGCTCCTCAAAGCTGACAGAAACCCACATAGTGGGGCCTGTGGTTCCTGTGTCCTACCCCGGAAGACCAATGAGAAACAACACTGCCAGACATGGCAGGATCCAGTCTCCAAGAGCCTGGCTACAACTACCCAATTTGCTCCTGTATACAGTCCCGGTAATGTGCTCCCAGAAATAATGTCCCTCTGACTGCCATTGTTCTCACCTAGTCCAACCCCTTCCCCTCCAGGCCTCTTCTCTCCCTTTCCCCAGTTCTGCCCTGTCACCTCCTCCTACTACCTCTCTGAAAAATGCCATCTCTCCCAAGCGTGGGGGAGGCTAACGCCTTGGAGGCGGTACAGGCAGAGACTCACCGGGGTCAGTCCGGATGCCGCATCCCGCACAGCGGTAATTCTGTTTGGCCACAGCAATTTTCCTTCTGAGGAAAGAGGACGGAGAGGGGACTGGCAGATAACCGAGGCATGAGGCCTTCAAGTTGTGAAGGTGAGGATAAAAATATAAGGTTCTTCTTAAAAATGCGAAGAGAGGGGAATTCACTTATTTTTTTAGAGTTGGACAAAACGAATCTATTAGGTGAACCAATTCAAACAGAGAATATGAAATTAGAATCTAGGCCTGGGCAGGGACTCTCCTTCGTAGTGAACCACACTTTCTGCACAAACTTAAGGAATGAGACTATCTAGAACAGGCAAGACAGAGAGAACAGTGTTTAATAGTGGCTGCCAGGGGTAGGAGGGAAAGGGAAAGGGGAGAATCATTATTTAGGCAGCACTGAGTTTTTGCTTATGGGGATGAAAAATTTAGCAATGGATATTGGTGATGGTTGCACAACATGACTGATGTAATTGGCTTTATTGAATTGTACACATGAAAAACGTTGAATTGGCCAATGTTGTGTTCTTTATATTTTGACAATAATAAAAAAATATTTTAAAAAAATGTAAGAGATGAGAAATAGTAGAGACAACAGGAGAGAAAAGCATCCATCTTCAACAGAGAAGAAAAAAACAAAACGGTAAGCTCACAAAACTATTGGAGGAAGGCAACAGGATGAGAATGCCAGTGAAAAAGGACCTCATTTCTGGTTAGTTCTAGGAAGGAACGGGAGAAGCGAGAGTGAGGTTTAAGGACAAGATGGGTAATCTTCTCCCTCCGCCTTTAAAGAGGAACAGAATTATGTGGGAGGTAGAATTGGAGGAAGAGACAAGACGGTGAGGAGACAGCTCTGACAATCCAAAGAGGATATACCCACTCTCCAAAGGACAGTCACTGGCTACTCACGTTGGAGCTGGATGAACATTAAAAATTATCTGAGGCCGGGGTGGGGCCCACTCCAGGTTCCCACGAACACGAATCCGTAGCTTGTAGATGTCAGCGTGCTGTCCATCATCTGGTGAGATGGGCAGTGAGTCAGGAATGGGCAGGAGCTGCAGGAGAAAAGCACAGGCTGATCCAATATGGGCAGTGGGGGGAAAGACTTATGCTTGACCCTTCTGCTCATGACAGAAAAAGAGCCAATGAAAGACATTTCAGAAACACCATAGGTAAGGGCTTTAGGGAACCGGGGCCCTTCAAACAAACCATAAGGCACTAGGGTACTAGAAGTGAGGGCCATTCCAAGGTGGTGGCACCCATTGCTAATGCTGTCCCTGTCCCCACCCCCAGGATCCCTGGTATGCCAGAATGCTTTGTGCCTGAAAGACTCAACTGCAGAGCAAAGAAGGAGCTGAACGACTCTCCTTTTTATAGTCTCAGGAGTTCTGCCTCTGTGTCTAGTGAGCAAGTCACGCAGAATAAGCAGGGTGAAGGAGCCATTGTCTCCTGTTTTGACAACTGCCAGGAAAAACCTAGGCAAGCATTCATTCATCTCACAGATTCGTAATGAATGTTTTCTATGAGCAAGGAAGGAAACACATCAGCTCATGCCATGACAAAGAAGAACAAGGTCAGAAAGGCTCACAGCCTCCTGGTGTTGGACAGTGGGTGTGGAAGAAGAGCTGAAGAACCCTACCTTTTGAGGGGCATCATGCTCTGGAACCAGCCACTCTAGCTCCGAGGCGGCCGGGAGCTGCATCCCCTCAAACTGCTTCAGTAGCCCCATGGCCACTGCCTCAGCGGACGTGGAGTGTAGGAAGCAGTGGGACCTGGAAAAGAGAGAACCGAAGAAGGGTGAGCACAGGGGAAAGACAGGCAGGGGGAGCCTACCCTTCAGGATCTGACACCATATGCAGTGACATCTGGACCAACAGAACGCTCGCAGTACATCCAGGCTGCTCAGCTTCTTTTCTTATCATCTTCAGAGGCAGGTGATAAAGTGAAAAAACACTAGTCTTACAATCCTAAGAGCTAGGCTCAAATCCTACGTCCTAGCTTCCTGACCATTACGAGGCACTGCTAGTTAAGGACTCTGCATCTCTTCCTTTCTCTAAACTTTAGTTTCTTTAACTGCAGAATGGAGATTATTATGCCTGATTAAAAGACAAAGTGAGTACAACTGCTTTGTGGACTATAAAGTGCTATTGTTCCCCCCAAATGAGCTATTATTTCCCCTAATTGGGTCTACACCGTGAAATCTGTTCAATCTGACTTCATAATCCAGAGTCATGATTGTGGTTCCTTCTATGGAGACCTGATCTTCTGGGGCCTGATCAGAGCACAGCCGAGAAGGAACAATACACAGTGTGAGCTCTGCCTCCAGAGCCCACCCAGTTTGTACCAAAGATCTCCTGTTCTCTTCCCCTGGGCAGGCCCGTGACTTTAACCTTGTCTCCTCGTGAATCTGGATGGCTTCATCCATGGCCTTTCCCACCCAGATATCAAGAACTACAGAAGTTTCCTCATACACCCCAAGGTTTTATAAAAAGTACTCACAAGGACTGGGACGAAAGGAAGGATTTGCTGTTTGAGGCTGTGCTCCTTCTGATGTCAGCATCTAAATGGAAACCAGAGATAAGAGGAGCAGGAAATGGAAAAGGAGGAAGTAACGACAATGGAAACCATTATAAGGTGAAGTGGCTAAGCACTCAGAGGAGCAGCTAGGTGCTGCACTCTATGCAGGACAAGGAGCAGAGTCCAGGTGGAGACCACTCAGTGAAGCTCTAAACACAATTTATAATTTGCCTCTATTCAAGTCACAACAAGGCTGAGTTAGTGACATTATGTATAGCACTGAGAAAGTCAAGGTGGTTACAAATTCAGGTGGAAACACAAACTCAGACATTTGGTGCAAAACAGTGAATGAGAAAAGGAAGCATCCTAAAACACATAGGTACACACTCCCTAACAAGTGAACACAAAATAAATGACTCGAATCTCTCATTCCTTAAATCTCAAGCTCTCTTAAATGATAAGGTCCCAGAGGCAAGAACTCGGTCTAGCTCTCTTTTATATCAGAAACCTAATACAGAACTTGGATCACAGAGTTTACTCACTACAAGCATGTGGAATTAGAACTTTGCTTCTAACATCTTACCACTGTTGCCTTTATCCCTGAATATTAGAAGTTTTCTATATCCTTAAAAAAGCTTCATGGACAGTGTTGACATGTAGTAGGGTTGTTAATCATTGTCATAGGGCAACATTTTACCGTTTAATGAGAAATTATTTTGTTCTGTAAACCTTCATCTAAAGTGAGAATAGCAGCACAACTGGAAGAACGTAATCGATGTCGCTGAACTGTGCATGTAGAAATTTTTGAAACGGTGTATCTTTGGCTATGTATATTTTCACCAAAAAATAAAAAAAAAAAGGTTGAGAAGGGAGAGGGTTGACATGTCATGGGGTTGTTAACCAATGTCATAAAACAATATGCATACTGACTGTTTAATGAGAAACTATTTGTTCTGTAAACCTTCACCTAAAGTATAATAAAAAAAAAAAAAAGAAAAAAGCTTCATGGAAAGAGTTCCTTCCTGTCTGGTGGCACAGGGAGGAAAAGAACTTCTTACGGCCTAGCAACTCTCTGGAGATGCCTGGCAACCAACACATTTTCAGTGAAACAATGAACACAAATCCTTACTATATAACTCTCAGGAAACTATGGCACTTTCCAAAGCCTATTTCTGATAAAGAATTTTGAAGAGGATTTCTAATAACAATATGTCTAAACTTCCAGAGACCTCACCTACCCAAATACTTCTGATAGAGAACAGAAAAAAAGAATGTGAGATATGGCAATCATGTTCAAAAAAGGCAAACAGTGCCCATGAAAACAGGACTGTTCTGATAAGCCCCATCTCTCACTTCCTTTGAAGCCCAGTGAAAAGACCTTCTTTTCCTAATTAAGCCTACACAACTAATCAATCGACTGTGTTTGAGCCCCTCAACAGAGCACAAAGCTTACATGACATTATTCTAAACTTGGCTATGAGTAGCACCACTGTTCTTCACATGTTTACTCTGTGTGTGTGTGTGTGTGTGTGTGAGAATGTGTATATGTAAGTCTCTGTGTGTATACATAGATATACTTGTATGTAAAGCTAGTTATAAAGTCCTTGTGAGGAAACGGGATTGCATCTAATTCTTCTGTTTGGCCCTAAAATATTTAACATAGGGCTCTGCATTCAAGCATTACTCAAATATTATTGCTGATAAATTAATGTCTTCAAAATTATATATGCAGGTAAGATAATAGAATTGAAATCTGTCAGTTTTCATGTTCTCTAAGCACAGAAAAACTTAAGGCAGCAACAAAATTTTTAGCTGGTAATTAACAAAGTCTATTTTATTTAACAACAAATAAGGTTGCATATGTCATATTTTCTGTCTGAACTTGCACCACTAATGCATTGTTGTTTTTGCTGGGTACCGTCAAGTCAATTCTGACTTGTAGTGACCCTATATGACAGAGTGAAGCTGCTCCATGAGGTTTCCTAGGCTACAATCTTTATGGGAGCAGACAGTCAGGTCTTTTCTCCCGAGGAGCCTCTGGTAGGTTGGAACTGCCAACCTTATGGTTATTAGTCAAGTGCTTAACCATTGCACCACCAGGGTTCCTTCACTAATGCACTACTAGTTGTCTAGTCATTCCAATTTGTGCTAATGGAGGAAAGGAAAAAAGTCTAGGCCTTAGTAGACCAGACCTTCATAGACGATTTGATTTACAACATTCTTCTGAGTAACACTTATAACATACTGCCTTGATTGTGCACAGGTCTTGTCTGTGTAACCCTCAGAGTGTTGTGTACATAATAAGCTCTCAGAAAATATTTCCTAAGTGAACGATTAATGGGCTAAAAGCAAACATGAATCTGTTTGGGAGTGACAGAGAAGGGAAGATGAGAGAAAAATCTCAGACAGATACCCTTGCATAAAGAGCTAACTTGCTTAGTTACTTTCAGGCTAGACTATTAGAGAAAACACTGCACACCAGAGAGGTAGTTGATAAGTCATGTTTGCTAAGGAAACCACCGTCTTCATAAAAATTATTTAGCAGTTCTTCATCCTCACAGAGAGGAAGCCTTTTTTCTTTGAGGAAAAAAAAAAATCATTCTCCTCCTTTTGGAAAAGATAGTCAACTCATGTTCCACCCCTTTTTTCACTAGAGGAGTAATGAGGTCTGAGGCACTGGCAGGGACCTCCTAGGTAATCACAATTGTCTCCAAGAGTGTGAGGACCACACAGCTTCGGGTGTGAGGATCTCACCTCAGGGATGGGAGGGACATGACACCTGACACTGGCCAACTACCCTGAAGGCCCTGTGGCTACTAGTCCTCTGCTGCACCCTGCTGACCTTCTAGTCAGTTCAAGCCGATGATTAAGTTGATGTGATGAAACACTAGTTGAGGATCTTGATAAAAGAAGAGGGAATAAGATAGAAAATAAGATAGAAAGAAGAGAGAAGAGAAAGCTATTCAACTGGAAGGATTAAAAAAACAAACAAACCAAACTCACTGCCGTCAAGTCAATGCCAAATCATAGTGACCCCATAGGGTTTCCAAGGCTGTAAATCTCTACGGAAGCAGATTGTCACATCTTCCTCCTGAGGAGCTGCTAGTGGTTTCGAACAGCTAACCTTTTGGTTAGCAGTCTCTTGCTCTGACCACTGCACCACCGGAGCTAATGTGCCCCAAATGAGAGCACTTTAGAAAGAAGTCTGAGATGCCTGTCTTCGGAGTGGGAGTAAACATAATAACGAAATTTTTAAAAATCAATTCTGTGTACAAAAACAAATACATTTTTCCCTAAGGGAACTTATTTCAAATGCTTCTGATGCCTTAGATAGGGTAAAGCTATTATTACCGACTGGAAAAAAAAGTTTATAAAAATAAGCAAACAAACAAAAACAAAAACAAAAAAAACCCGACATGTTACAAGGAGAAGAAACTGCTGCATGTCAGACACTGGTACTGGGATGATCTTGGAAGAATTGTTTAAAACCTTGGTACCCTAGAGAAACCTGAAAATTTTTAAACAAAATAAGTAAGGTATAGGAAGATAGTCAACTCCCAATATTTACTGGCCAGTCTGATACTGGTTTCCATTCTGCTTTCCTTCTAGCAGATAAGGTGATACCTGGTCCATTTGGGAATCCAACTCCAGTGAATTTTCTCTAAGTGCTGACTCAAGAGGAAACACTTTAAAATGGAGAACCACAATCATTCGTGCTTAAAAGGGGGAAAAACTGACTTAAAAAAGGGGGTAGGGGTGGGGAGAAACAGCTGATTATCTTAAATGGGATACAGTTAAAAATCTTGTCAGAAAACGTAGTTCATGAACTTTCCTCTTTATATGCTGTGCCAGTTATCAATGTCTTGCCTTTCTGTTCCAAATCTGCCCTTTTTTGCCCGATGGACCAGTAAATGGGTCTCCTTTGCCAGCTGGCACTATGTTAAGCTTTGTCAGTAGAGGGCACTAAAGCGACAATGGAGGAGGAAGGGATTTCTCTTCCTGGTTCCCATGTGTTCCTCTAGGCAGACTCCTGCAGTACCTGTGGCTGTCCCCTGGGAAAGCCTTTCGGTAGCTTTGCAACAGAGTGTCACTAGCAGTACCTCCTGTAAACAGCATCCCTTGGCACCCCCTCAGAAAGCTTTAGAGAATGCTACAGGCCTGGCATCTCCCCATGAACAGCACCTCCCCATAGACAGCTTCCCCCAGCACCCTAGAGAATGGGTTTTCCAGTGAGTGCTGTTGGCAAGGCACTCCCTTGTGTACAAGAGTCCCCTGGCACTCCCTCAGGCAGCTCTGCAGCTTCAGAGAACTTCTCCACCATCCAGTCTGGATCTCAGCCTCAGGGGTGTGGCCCTCTTCTATATTTATTCCTTCCCTGGGTGTTCCTTCTCAGCCCTCGGGCAGTGATTTCTCCCTGTATCTGCTATATCTGTATTCCTCGGAGTTCTCTTTACTCCTTAAGAGCCAAACTCCCATTACTCCAATCCCCCACTAGAGTTAGTACTTTTTTATATTAAACTTCCCTATTCAAATTACTGTGTGGTTCCTGTCTCCTGATCAGAGTCTGACTAATAAATGTATAGTACAGAAGGTTGAAACTCTAGAAGAATCTACAAAGGAAGATAAAGAAGAATTGACGAAGCTGTAATAAAAGAGTATAAAGGGGGAAAAAAACCAGTAGCACCAAAACACTAAAACCAAAGAAGTTGAAAAGACTGTCCTGGGACTGGGAGTTTATGAATGATATCAAACCAACTTGGCAGACACAATCAGAAGAAACAGATGAACGAAAGGAGCAAGACACAAAGATCACATCCTGTAGGATTCCATTTAAATGAAATGTCCAGAAAAGACAAATCTATAAGGACAGAAAGTAGATTAGTGGTTGCCTGGGGCTTGGGGTGGGAAAGGGATCAATGGCAAATGGGCATGAGGGATCTTACTGGCTTAAGGTGATACCTGTACAACTTAGTAAATTTCTAAAAATCATTGAATCGTACACTTGAAATAGGTAAATTTTATAATATGTAAATTATAAACCAAAACCAAACTTGTTGCCATCAAGTTGATTCCAACCCATAGCAACCCTATAAGACAGGGTAGAATTGCCCCACAGGGTTTCCAAGGAACGGCTGGTGGATTCAAACCACTGACCTTTTGGTTAGCAGCCACAACTCTTAACCACTGTGCCACCAGGGCTCTATGTAAATTATACCTCAGTAAAACTGCTTTTTTAAAAAAAGAAATAGATGTTGACAAATACAAAGCTTTCTATGAATAATTTTCAAGGAAAAGTTATGATTACAAGGTTTACATCCACTTTATTGCTAGGAGGAAGTAACTTTGAAACCTATTTTCTTCAGAAACACTTCTGCTCCATATAATCTACATGATGAATTAGGATCTAAGAAAAGTGGTTACATTAAGCCATACAGATGCAGAGTATCTGTCATAGACTATGTCCATAATATGACGCTTAAGCGCTTTAATTTTTCCAAAGGTTTTATGGATTCTGATGACCTTCCTCTTACATTATCCCAAGGGACTTTTCAATAGCATAAATCACTTAAGATGATCAAAAAGAAACTATGGATATGATCAAGAAGATTGTTAGAGAAGTATAATGATACTTTTTAGAAAGAATTTGGTACCAGTAACAAACTTGGTGTGATTAAAGACCAGAAACAGCTGAAGAAGAGCAGAAAACAACAGAGCAATCTAGACTGGAGACAGATGAACTGTAAATCATACTTTCGTAATTATTGAGAACATATGTACAGAAAGAACTAAAATTTAAGTCATTACTTTTGACAGAGTCTTGTTCTGATTGCTTACCAACCTGCCCCAACACCACTAATAAAGTGTTGGGATTGTGGGTCACAAGAAAAAGTAGTTTTTTAGTAGAAAAACTTTATATTCTTGGTACAAAAACTTGGTACAAAAATTTTAAAGCTCCCAAAATAGAAGAAGAAAGGATGCTAGGAAGACTAAATAAAGGTATGCCTCATGGATAAAGCAGATTGACGATGCTCTGACAGAGAAGTGGTTGACAATCAAGAAATGAACCAACAAAAGATTGTGACCGTAAACACATTAGTAACCAGTTAAAAGCTGACTGGATAATTACTTCTTCTCAAGTAGGTTAAGAACAATGTTAGAATAAATCACAACAGGAGTAGAGAAAAAGGTACCTACCGTATTTTTACAAAAATAACATGAGCTTTTCTGTATCTGTTTGCCAATCACACCCTCCACCCCTCCCCCCAGGTATTTTCATAAGTGCCGCTATATCAATTTTTTTTACATGTTGTCATAAAAAAAAATTACTTTTATTTCTTTAAATCATGATCTAATTTTATGCCATTATTTCAAACTGTAGTGGCTGACAATATTAATAGTAATAACTAACTGTAATAAAAAGTCTTGAGTTTTGTTGAGTGGAAAACTGCTACTTTCTTTCAGTTAACCCCAACTATAGAAAGCCTACTTGTCTGGATCACAAAGCGATTACTAAGGCCAACATTTCTAGCAACAAATCCTAATTGCATACAAAGTACCTAGAAGAGGTGGTTTTCTGAACATTGGTTCTGCAAATTCAAAACTCTAAAGGGACACTAAGCTTCATACCATTGTATTCTACTTTTGCTGTCTGAGCTACTTTTACAGCTTAGCTATACATCTGAATGTTTCATTTGACCATCCCTTTCTAAACTGTCTACGACCTCCATCTGCCACATTGACTGCTCACTCTAGGAAAAGATTAACAAGGACAAGCTCAGTAAGGAGGACTGTTTGGGTCATATGAGGAAGAAGAAAATGAGTATCTAAATTGTTCCTGGCTTCTTAACTGGATAAAGTCCAGTTTTTCTGAACTAGTTCTCTAGACCCTGTAGTCCTCGTAACCTTGACAGGTGTCACAACATAACCACGTATGTACAAAAGCTGGTGCAAACATTCACACACATGCACAGATGAGCACACCCACACTTCCAACACAGGCTACCTGAAAACATCGAAGCCATTGACACTGAGAGTCCATTCTTTGACATGTGAGTCAGGTTAGATCCTTCGCTACCATCTGTGTGATAATGATTATAAAAGGGGGCCCTTTAGAATACAGTCTAGAAGTAAATCAGTGAAAATGACAGTCCTATACACATGCTCCTGGGATCAAGACTTGACTTTGCTCCAAAAGATGAAACGGTTCAGGAACTTACAACCACAGGTAGGTGCTCACTATAGCTTGGGAGATAGTTACTGCTACTTCCCCAAACCAGCCTAGCCTTGAAGACCTCCTACAGTAGTGCCTCTCAACCAGGGGTGATTTTGCTCCCCTGAAGATATCCTGCAATGTCTGTAGACATTTTTGGTTGTCGCAGTTGGGGAGGTTGCTACTGGTATCTAGTGGGTAGAGGCCAGGGATGATATTACACATCCTACAATTGCACAGGAGAGCCCCTCACAACAAAGATTCATCCAGCCCAGAGTATGAAAAACCCTGACTTAAGGTCTCTTCCTTTAAGATTTCTGCACTGACCTGACCTGATAGTTAGTTGATTAAATGTCCTCTGGGCCCATAACTACAGCAATAGTTTCTAGCAGGATAAGCCTCCTTCCAGACTGAACAGCTTCCCTTGGTTCCCTGCTTCACAGGGAGTCAGGTGGACTGCTCCACACCCAGTGAAGCAGCAGGTTCTGCATTTAAATTAACACTATTCTCATGAAATTCTGACTGCTGACTCTGAGAGAGATGGCAGAACCCTCTTATTTTCTTCTAATGTGAAGATCAAGTCAGTCACAAAAAAAGAGAAAAATGGAGTTTTAAGTGACTACCTATTATTGTCACGAATGGAAATCAGATACTTTAAAAGGGTGACTTCCTGGAGACCTGGAAAAACATGTGCAAAAACTGAATTTTTGAATGGGGAAGGAACCCAGCTACTAAATCTGGAGATTTGCATAGGTGAATGCGTTCTCTAGATTCATGTAGACAGGAAATCAGAGTCTCAAGCAATGAAAGATCTATTCATCATCGTGTTATGATGGAGAATTACAGACGTACTTCACCTCTGTAAGGAAGTGCCCCTTGGTTTTACCCATAGACCAAAACCAAACGAAACCTCTCGTCATCAAGTCAATTCCAACTCATAGTGACCCTACAGCACAGAGTAGAACTGCTCCATAGAGTTTCCAAGGAGCAGCTGGTGGATTCCAACTGCTGACCTTTTGGTTGGCAGCTGAGCTCTTAACCACTGCGCCACCAGGGCTTCTCTACCCACAGGGGAAGAGCTTATGTCCCTGAACTGTTTTTTGTTTGTGGGTTTGTTTCCTTCACTGATGGGAACTTGACAACATCTGTGATTTGCAGGAAGGGGACATTAACCTGATGGAACACAACTACCTTCCTAGATTAGGACCTTTCCCTTTCTCTACGCAGATGCTTCCAACAACAAGAGTCTAGGATTCTGGTAAGCCAGTTAGCCCTGGCTGGACAGAAAATAAAGCTCTACTTTGTAAACCTGATTGTTCTCCTTTTTGCTTTTTTTTCCCCCAATGACTCTTTCTGTCTTTTTCTCTTAGAATTATAATAAAGTTCCTTCTGAAAACTTCAAAACAATTTCAGTTGTGTTATGGATCACAAAAGAATAGGACTCTAATTTCATGTAGGTTTGGACCAGCCCTGGGTTGCTAGAAGGAGGAATTAGAGTGAGAACCCAAGAGAAAGCTGCAACTTGAGGAAGAAGCGTTAGAATGACTACAACAGCCAGCCCACTCCACCTGGACTGCTGTCTTTCAATGTTCTTTTCTGCTTACATTTTAAAGGGTTTTTGTTTTTAGCAAGAGAGGTTGTCCCTTACAATAGTCAACAGCATTCCATAATGGACCATAATGAAGATCTCTACTTAGGGAAAACTTCATAGCCTATGATCCAAGTTGAAAAAAACAGCTAATGAAAGCTCTCTTGTTTAACAAACTGTCGCTTCTTACCTTGGATTTCAAATTCGTCTACCTCATCAGCAGAGCCAGAGTCAGAGAACTGTGTTGAATCACGTGAACTGAGCTGGGAGCTGCTGGAAGTGACCCAAAAGCCTGTTATGCAGGAGGGGAAAAAAAGGTAAAACAGGAGAGAAAGAGTTCTCTTATTCCTTCTGGGGTCACAATGAAAGGAACCTGGTACGATCTCAACAGGGAGAAGCAAACAGAACCTTCGCTAGGAATGTGGAAACTAGTTTTTCTTACCGGGTTACTCCCCTAGCAAGTTTCATGTAAACAGAAGGTACTCCTATCTGGGAAGAGAATCTGGGACCAGTGGCGTTAGTTCTCATACCAGAAATCTATTTTGAAAGGAAGTTGTTTCTGAGGTGGGAAATGGACAAACTCTAGGACGAGCATTCCTAGTCTGGTAGAAAAAAAAATAGAACTTCATAGAAATATCTTTCTGACAGCAGAAGATTCCTTAGCCTAGGGATAACATCCCAAACGAAGACAAAAAAGAAAGCCCAAAGGTACTGAAGGTGTTCACAGGCCTCACTCACTTCCATGTTCAGTCTCCTGGTACCCAGGGAACAGATTCTTGGTGCGGATCTGCTGGCGACGAAGGCGAATCTTCTGTTTCAGTTCCTGGATCTCTCTATCACTGTCTTCCTCCTCCTCTTCCTCTTCCAGGCATTGGCTCATCATGTTGCACTTCATTAGCTCAATGGCAGCAATCAAGGACTCTGAGATGCTGAAGTGAGCATTCTCCTGGTGGAAGGAGAGCACCAAAGAAGTTGCTTGGCAAGGGTCTAGAAGTAATGAATGCCTCACTGATTATAATGTTGGAAAACAGAGCTTCTAGGATATGCACTGCTTTTATTCAAAACACCGAGGAGAAATGCACACTTCTATTATAAGGAAAGTTGATGGCCAGAAGACCTGTTCCAGATTCTCTTTGCTCTCATACCTGGCCATGCCTGTCCCTTCCTTTCCCACTTTCTACATAAAAATATGATAGAGAAGAAGCCTAGGATTTTTTATCAGGGTCTGTCCTATAGTTATACACTTAGACACATAGTATTAATTAAACGCGATGTCTTACAATAAAGTGCTTTGCGGACTATAAAATGCTATATGGATGTTATTTATTATATATCTGAGCCTTAAAACAAAATATAGAAGGTGATTCTGGAAACAGTATTTACCTAAGGTTCCCGATTCAAGGGAACAACAATCACGTGGCTAAGATTTAATGCCTCACTGCCCAAGGTAGCTTCTGAGACAAAATCAGTGTAACATTTTTAAATCCAGTGAGGAGCACATAAAGAGTTCCCCAGAGATAGAACTTGTTGAACTTATTCTTACTGTAGTCTATACCCATGTCACTGCTGTGTACCCGAAACCTCACGAGAACAAATGACACCACAGTCCCTCAGGCCAGATCTCCCAACTCGTGGGTTCATTAGCCTGTTAGATCCTTCACCTTTTCCAGGTCTGCACAGCTGCCAAAGTCCTGCTCAGAGAGGTAGCTGATGAGGGACTGCCCTTCTGATGGTTGGCGGAACATGCCTTCCCCTGAGCACAGGTACTGACCACCTTCTGTGGGAAAACAAAATGTGGATGTAAAAACCTCTGAGTTAGAATGCAAATCTGTAACAGTCAAGCTTCTTCAAGAAATCTGAAGATTTTACCACTAAAGATGCTCCCAAGTCTTCCCAGGTACAGGGAATTAGAGGTTGGAAGGAAGATGTCTACCTTCTAAAGAAATTTCTCTGAATGTCAAATCCCAGAGCACTAAACCCCTTGGTTAGAGAACGGTGGAACAAATGCAGAGAGCTCAGCCTTGGGTGACAACAAGACACAATCATTTTACCACTTAAATTTAAAGATGACACACTCTCCCTTCTACCTTACAAAAAAGCAAACAAACAAAACTCTTGCTGAGAGTCAGAAAAGAACACAAATGGCTTTTTTCTACTCTGGTGATTTCAATGTGGAGTTTGTCCTCTGGTAACTAAGCCCAGCTACTCAAAGGCCTTTTTTCAAGGTCCTTCTCATCCACTCAGAGCCCTTCCATTTGGATCAACAGATGTATAAGGTGATAATACCCACAGCATAAGAGAGGGTGGGACCCCTAAGTCAGAGAGAAACGAGAGAAATGGCAGGCAAGTATGATTTCTAGCACAGGGATTGAAAATGATGAAAGGGAGGGTGAGACCAGACAGTGTGTATCCACCACAGAGTTGAGATAAGCCACAAAGCTCAGAGCTTAGAAAGCAAAAGGGAGAGAAGAGAAAAGAGAGACATTCAGCTCTGGCCCTCCTGGGGCTAAGCTCACTTACCATACTCCATGCACAGAGAGCTGGGTGTGCTGACTTCACTGCTTTGGCCAGAGTAGGACAAGGGGCCTCTTAACTTCGACTTATCATTGCAGGACTCTAGTATCAGTGACCACCAGGGAGTAAAAACAAACATACAAGGTGAGCAACAGGTACATTCCCAGCTTTAGAGTTTCCTCATTTAACTGCTCCCATTCCAATACCCTCCCAAACAGGCGCCAGGCAGCACACCAACAGGGAACAGCCCAACAATGCAGGAACACACGGCGGATGGAAATGGGAAGTCAGAATGATCTAAGGGGAAAGAGAAACATGATCCAGAATGGGCAACACGAAGGTGAAAACCAATCAAATAATGGATTCATGAATTTAGTTCTCTTTTCCTCCATCTTCTCACCAAATAAATGTTCCAGGAATATCAGCCAATTTCTTCCCTCTTGACAAACCAATTTAGAAAACAGTCCTCAGATGCAAATTTTTCTGATACCTTGATACTAGATTTTTTTTTGTTTCATTTTGTTTAGACACTAGGTTTTAAAACAGTATCAGAAAATGTATACTCCTGTATTCCCTAAACAAATATAAGATATGACCTCTACTGAACCTGAAATGTAAATTTCTTAGACCTACAAATGTAACCCAATTCTGAATTGGCAGAATAACAAAATGAAATCCAGCAACGTCCTTAAAAGAAGCATCAAGGCAATGCTAGCGAAGCGAAGGACAATGGCTGGAACTTGAGAGACCAAAGGACTCAGCCACAGGGCTATGGGTGCAGACTTACTGGAGAAGGAAGGGAGAGGTTTCAAGAGAAGGCTGGCAAAGGAGGAGGTACCCAGGGAGAAGTTTTCAAGGAATAGTAGAGTTGGGAGTGGAGAAACAGCAGCAGGCAGGGCTCTCAGGAAACAAGAAACTGGTATTTTCAAAAGGGAAACACAAATTTTCCAGTGCCACAGAAGGAAGAGCAGGTGGAAAAGCAGGTGGAGCCTGAGAAATGAGCAGGATGCTCTGGGAGAATGAATGAGTTGCATCCAACCCACTTCCCTGACAGATGGTGCCAACTTGTCAGCTGCTCCTCTTGCAAAGAAGCTGCTACGTGGTAAGAAATAACGTTGTGTTCTCCTTCGGCCTCAAAGACTTCTGGTGGCCCTAGCTCTGCTCCTCTCTATTGAGCTGAGGAGAAACCAGCAGTCATCATGATGTCTTTGTAAGGAACCATGGATTCGGAAGGGGCCTTTGAGATCCCCAGTGCAACTCAGTGCACAACACAAACTTCCTTACAACTTATGGCCATCCAGCTTTTACTTCCTGGGCTCACTACCTCCTGACATTGCCCATTCAAATGAAAAGCTCTATGTCTTAGAGAGTCTCCTTATAACCTGATGCAGTAGAGGCGATTCCAACTCATAGCAACCCTACAGGACAGAGTAGAACTGCCCTCATTGGGTTTCCAAGGAGCAGCTGGTAGATTCGAACTGTCAATCTTTTTGGTTAGTGGCTGAGCTCTTAACCACTGTGTCACTAGGGCTCCAGTTTCCTTATACTCACTTGAAATCTGTCTTCTTACAATTTCTCGCCTCCTTTAATAACAACCGGCTCTTCTAAATGATGGTCTTACTTTCTCCTTTAAGAACAAAGCTCTTCTAAACAGTGGTCCTGCAGCCTTTATCTCTCTTTAACCATCTCTTTTCTAAGCTAACAGGCCCAGTGGCTTAACCCATTCCCAGGAGGCCAGAGTTTTCAGTCCTCCTCACCATTCTGTCTTGCATACATATTCTAGTATTAATATTTCCTTGAATTATGCTACCTGGAGTGGAACACAACTATCAGTTTAAACACCACCAGGAACACCAAGGAAAAAGACTTAAGTCACTAGAAAAATTCCGTGCAATGGCTGGAATGGGAGGGGAGTATAATAAGGGAAGGAAGACAGGTGAAAAGAAATGGAAATGGGGGACTCCAGGAGACGCAACACACATGCACCTACATCAAAGACCACAGAAAGGGGAGAAAACACATTCTGGTGTTGATTCAAGGAAAATAAAATAACCCAGTACTAAGTACCCAGTTATAAGAAAAATTCTGCCGCTGATTCATCATGATGCCTTAGACAAATAGCAGGCCTCAGTTTCACCTTTGTGCTATACAAAATTGATCATTCTTGCTCTGTCTCCCAGAAGCTGCTGGGAGACTGAATTAGGCATTTGGAAGTTGTGGGCAGAAAACATCTCATGCAAAATACTGGTGTCATTTTACAGACAGGTTCAAGCATCACAGCAGGGAAGACTAGCCAGACTTGATTTGACACCAGAATGGAAAAGGAGGTTCAGAAGTCAGCAAGATGGTCACAGAGGAACAGAAGGAAGAGGAGGTGGAGGACAGAAAGGAGGAGGACCGGCTCCCAAACCTGCAATGGGATCTTCAACTATAATGGTGATATTCCTGGGGCCTCCTGTAGGCAGACAGACAGGTCCAGAGTAAACAAGAATAGAGAGAGAGAAAAAAAGAGTGTCCTTTTACCTACCAGAGGTAGGGACCTAACTCGCGAGAGGGAACCCTCGTGCTAAAGGAGGGATGACCTGTACTCGAAGCTTCACGTGACCCATGCTCCCTCAGACTCTTCTGCATAGGTTTTCCCTGGCTCCCTTTCCCAATGCAGGTTACCGTGGTTTCTGGAATCCAAGTGGATTCAAGAACGGGGGCAGGGAAGTTGTACATGCTCAAAGGCCAGCAGCCTGAAGTACACTAATACCAGGCCCGCAGCAGGAGATGTGAAGCAAGGATCTGACCCAAGCACTCTTCACATCTAAGGAAGCTGGGGGGAAGACAGGCTTTGAGTTGGAGATTTTTTTCCAACAGAGTTCCAATAAGTCAAAGCAGATACTTGAGGGAAAACATAGACAAAGGGTTTTCATTCAGAAGGTATCAGATGAGGGCGTTAGATCTTACTTTTTTAGAAATTACAAAAAGAAGTTAATGGCAGCTCCAGCTACTAAAGGAAATCTTTTTTTATGTGTCTTTTTCTCTTTTTTATATTTTACTTCTGGAGCTTCACCACCCAGAACTGACTTTGAGAACAAAGGTCCATGTTACGCTTGTTATCACGGAGATTCTTCTACAAATGAACCCAACCAAAGCCTGCCAGATACCAAGAACCCAGGAAAGATGATGGCAGGGAGATGGCAAAAGCAATGATAGCCACCTTCCCCATGTCTAGGCTTCCCCATGTCTAGGGTTTTCTGTGGGAGGTACCCGTGGCCAGGGCCTCCCTAGCTGACTGCCTCTGAACCAGAATTAGTGAGGCAGCCGTCAGCCCCACCTACTTACTTACCAGATCACATCACCCACACTTACTCTTCTTATCCCTAGTTTTACCTGTTCTCGTTAGGTGCCATCAAATCGATTCCAACTCATAGCAACATCATGTGACAGAGCAGAACTGCCCTATAAGGTTTTCTAGGCTGTAATCTTTACAGGAACAGATTGCCAGGTCTCTTCTAAACTGCTGGGTGGGTTCAAACAGCCAACCTATCAATTAGCATCCAAGTGCTTAACCTTTGCATCACCATGGCTCCTTAGTTTTAATTACGAAACCCAAACATCACTTTGCCTTTCTCATATTGGAATTACATCCTGACCAAACTTCTAAGGAATCACAGAAAGAGGAGGAATTTAATGGGATTATTTTTAAAGCTCATTAATACTTCCCCTTGGTCTGAGAGATACATTTAAAACTTGAACTGCAAATGAGTCACACTAATCCTCTGTTGCTAAGGAACTAGGGAAAGAATTCAGGAAAACGTTTAATATTTAGCAATGCATAAAGAAGTAAACATAAAGATGCCTCACGGAGATTTCTTGAGTATCCATATCATGTTACAAACTTCTCTTTCATCATAAGTACAATACCTGTCATGGCATCAAAAACACAACTTCTCTTTCTGCCAACTGAAGCGCCCCAAGAACAAACTCTCCCTGCTAGCCTAAATCCAGGAGGCCGCCTGGCGCTTATCATTACCTGGGGCTCCACTGGAGATGATGTTGGTATCTGAATGAGAGCGAGTGTGGCTCTTTTTTGCTCCAATGTGGACCGTGAGTGTCTGTCCCTCTGAGTAGCTGGACCTGCGAAGGACACTAGACAGCTGGTTCTGCCCACCTCCCTCCTGGTCCCCTAGGGAAGAAGCGGTAGACTCTGGCTTCTGGGAGCTGCTGGAAGAGAACAAATTGAAGCTGCTGCTCTCAGTGTTGCTGCTGTGACTCTGACAGCTGGTGGTCCTGCTTTGGGGGTCCAGGTTGCCGATGGCCAGGTACTCAGGCCCCTCACTGGCATCACTTGGGGATTCATTCTGGCTGGTGACCCAGGATGCCTCTAGGGGACTGGTCAGAGTGCTGGAGCTCATCTCATTTGAGGATAAGGGAGAATTCCTGGCTAATGCAGAGATCGAAAGCAGAGAGGCTTGAACGGGTTGATCCTCTGCTGGTGAGACGTGTCCTCTGCTTTCTTGAGGTTTCTGGGAAGGGCCAGAGAGTGAAGAGGATTTTCTCTCTAGGATATAAAAAGAAAGGGAAGGGAAACATGGGCTGCAATCCTGTGGTACTTCTTCCACAAGGGCTTCTTCCACGACTAAGGACCAAACTCCCATGGTTAATGGACCACACTCCAAGGATCATGTTACACATGGTGTCACCTCCAAAAAGGTCAGTAAAATGAAATAAAAGAATTATTCAGAAGCAGCCAAGTCAAGTACGTGGGCTCTTGAGACAGTGGCTTCACTGCTTATTAGTGTGCGTGTCTCATCCGTAAAATGAGCATAAATAATAATACCTACCTCATAGGACTGTTATGAGGATCAATGAGAAAATAATATACAGAAGTTGATTACAACAGAGCCTGGCAATGGCAGGCACTCAGTAAATGCTAACTATTATTATTTAAATGCCTTCTTGGTGAGCTGGATTAGAAACCCAGGAGAATTTAAAAACATCTCTTTCTTCTGTTAATTAAAATGATGCTACTGAATTAGCTTAGGCTAGTTGCTATATAGCTTTTTACGATATCATTATTAAGACAGGAAGTATGACAAACTGCACCAACCCAAGGCTCTATACACAGTCTGTGAGCACCCACAAGGTCTTCCACATTCCAGGACCGCAGGTACACGTAATACCTACCCCTTCCCACCCCCTTACCGGAGCCATGGCTGAGCATGGATTGATGGAGGCTGGAGAAGGACCCAAAGTAGGAATGCTGAGTGTAGCTGGTTGGAGGGGTGTATGTGGAACTAGGCAGTGCTGTCAGGCTCTGGCTCTTTGTCACCAGCAGCGGGCTCTCGTGTTTCCTGGCAAACTAAAAAAAAAAACAAAGAAGGTGTCAGAGTCCAGGCTAGAGGCTCTCAGAGGAGGGCACTCAGCACGGCAGCAATGCTGGTAGAAGCTGGTCGTTGGCAGCAGCCTTGGACTGCAGCCAAAGCTGGTAGCTACAGCATGTTGTTGTTGTGAGGTACCATCAAGTCGATTTCCGACTCACAGCAACCTCGTGTGACAGAGTAAAACTGCCCCATAGGGTTTTCTAGGCTGTAATCTTTACGGGAGCAGATCGGCAGGTCTTTCTCCCATAGAGCTCCTGAGTGCGTTCAAATTAACCTTTCAGTTAGCAGCCGAACACTTAAACATTGCACCACTGGGCTCCTTGTAGATACAGTATAGCTACCCTCTATTATATTCAGCTGTTTCTAAAAGAAATCTCAAAGTCTGGCCACATACCACAGCTTCTGCTTCTGGAATCCTTCTGGGTGATCAAACCAGAAGTGCTTTATCATGTAGGCAGCACAACAAGGTGCTTAAGACTTTATGTGTGCACGCAGAAATTAGACAGACTGGGGATTCAAATCCAAGCCCTATCACTTATAAGCTACTTGGTCCAAACCTAGGGCAAGTGACTTATCTTTTCTGTGCCTCCATGGTCTCCTTCATAAGATGAGATTAATGTCTACCTTAAAGAGTTGTGAGGATTAAATGAGATGATGTACCTATTGTGCATTGCACATGCCTGGCACATAGAAAGTATTCAATGGATAGTAACCAAGAACCAAATTAAAACAAGCAGGAGAGCCAGGGAATCCCTTCCAAAAGGAGTAGGGTCTCTGATTCCATTCTAGCTGAGATACTGACTAGAATATTAGTGATGGGATGAGTGGTTGGAGAGTTAAAGTTTCTTTATACTTCAAGGTCAAAAACGATCCTGTGTAATACTAGACCATACCAGACCTGATTCAGTAAACTCTACTCCTGATTCACAATCATCCCTCTTCTCCTAAACCCTCTGTCAAGTCTTAGGGAGATGCTTTTTTCAGACTCAGGATCCCAAAAGTTTTAAAAAACAAGACTCTCCTTTCCAAATAGACCTAAGCTTAGACTTTGTACTTCAGTAGGTATTTGATGGTACCTCCCCCTTCTCTCCAATCTTTTTTTTTTTTAACGAAAGCCTTTCAGTTCACAACTCCCTAACTGAAGAAACAGAGAGTTACGTCATAGTGAGGTCCAGGGGTCCAGCATAGACATGGATGATTCCTTGCCCCCTTTACCATAGATGCATCAATCTGAGCCAGTAGGCGGGGGTTGTTCTGTTCCACTGCTTCCAAGCATTGCAGCATGGCCGTGACATGAGAGTTGCTTAGCAGGAAAGCGGTATCTGGGGAGAGAAAATCCACCGTAGTGATGGAGCCCAACAGGGAGATATTTAGTTTCCCTATATGGCCCTGGTAGTTCAGGGAAGGAGAGAGGGAGAAGGTACAAACAATTTGAAGAGAATCGCGCCACTCTGGGAAGAAGGGAAATCAGGGATAAGTATAGTACAGGGAAGGCTAAATAATGTGCAGTATAGCAAGGAGGCCAAGACAGAAGGCTTCAGCATCAGAAGGACCGAGCTTTGAACTGGAAATGGAACAACCAGAACACAATTAAAGAGAATGCTGACACACTGTGAAAAATGTAACTACTGTCACTGAACAATTTGTATAGAAATTGTCAAATTGGAACTTAATTTACTGTGTACACATTCACCAAAAACACAATAAGACATTACTTAAAAAAAGAAAAGACAAGACCTAGATGTGAATCCTGGTTCTACCATTCGTTAGCAGTGTGACTTTGGCCAAGTCACCTAACTTCCTTGAGCTCTGTTTCCCTGACTGGAAAATAGGGGTAAAAATACCCCACTCTCAGGGTTCTTGTGAAGAGTATATGTATAAAACTATACACAGCGACTGGCACATAGGAGACCCTCAAAAAATGGTAGTTATGCTTATCGGTCTGCATGTATCAAAGTAGGGGAGTTCTTAGCATAAAGTGTAATTATGCTTTTCATGGGAGGTGAGAGGGAAGACTAGATATGTTTCTAATTCAAATCTCTATGGCCTCAAGTGACATAAGAGGGCCTTCAGGGTTAGAGAGGTCTACAGAGAAGAGTGAGGTGGAAGAGAATGAGGAAGCATACACAACAATCCTGGTTAAGTCACCTCCACCTACCTGTATAGAATTTTCTGATATACTGTCTATCCCCGAGTAGAGGCCGGAGCTGGGCTGAGAGACAGTGGCACTGCAAGCTGTGCTGCAGCCACAGCTCTGCAATTGCACGCTCACTCACGCCATCCGTGCTGCTCTGGCTATTCTCATGCAAGCTGATGAACTGGGAGGCAAAGAGGCATGAGTCAAAACAAAAATTCTGGAAGATACAGCAAGATTGAGGCTTAATGACCTGAGAATTAAACTGAGGTAGGTAAGGGGAGGTAATCAGAGGTATTTTTCCTCCAGCTGGCATCTAGAGGTTACTGAGGAAGGAGACAGAAGGAAGGGATTAATGGTGTCACTGCTGGATTGGGCCACTGGTAAGGAACTAAGTAGTAAAGACCTGATGTGAGGCCCTGGTAGAGGACAAAGCTGCTAGATCTGGCGCTTTATGCGTTAACTCCAAAGAGGCACTGTCCTGGTATATTTAAGAAAGGATGAACTTGACCTCTTTGCTTCTCTCACAGAGTCCTGGTGGCCTCCAGAAAAGAATGTGACAAAAACCTGGGGGAAAGAATCTAGGAAAAATGCCATCAAAGATTCTCCACCAAAGAGAAGCCATTTGAGCATCTCTTTTTGGTTCTAGCCCCAGGGTTCTCCATTTGGAACATCCTTCTACTCAGCTGTTTCTAAAAGCAAGCTCTTACAGCCCAGGATCAAAAAGTAAGCGAACAGCAATTTTAGTGTATGGATGGCATTTCCTCCTAAGAGGAAATGACTACAGCAA